TTGGAGGATGGCTCGAGCGAGGCGCTCATTTTCACCCCACTCAGGGGAGCCGCCAGGGGTTATCTCACGGTCCCGTTCGCGGCCGTTTTGTGGGGATGTCTCAAGCGGTTTGCATGTTTTCTGTCCCAACATCCTTCGCTTTCGGAGCAGATTTGGAGGATAGCTCGAGCGAGGCGCTCATTTTCACCCCCCTCAGGGGAGCCGCCAGGGGTTATCTCACGGTCCCGTTCGCGGCCGTTTTGTGGGATGTCTCAAGCGGTTTGCTTGTTTTCTGTCCCAACATCCTTCGCTTTCGGAGCGGATTTGGAAGATGTCTCGAGCGAGGCGCTCATGTTCAGCACCCAGGTGGGCCAGATTTTGAGGATGTCTTGATCGGTGGCCAGACTCGTGGGCACAGATTTTCCTCAGGATGCCACAAGAGGCTCCAACAAGCCCCATGAGGCCCCAGAAGACCACATGAGGTCCCGGCCTCAGGAAGCCACAGGAGGCCCCATGAGGCCAGAGGAAGCGCCAGGAGGTCTCGGAAGGCAAGAGGAGGCCCCTAGAGGCCCCAGGAGCAGGAGGCCTCAGAAGGCAACAGGAAGGCAACAGGATCCCATGTGTTTTATGTATGCTCCTATAGATTGGGCCTCACCTGGAGCACGAATCCTTGATGTTATACGTATGTTTCTATAGACTGCCCTTCTCCTGTGTACTTATGTTCCTATAGGGCCTCTCCTGGGGCACGAGTCCTTGGTGTTTTACGCGTGTTCCTATAGATTGCCCCCTTTTCCTGTGGCTCCAATCCGCAATGTTTATGTACGTCTGTTGCTATAGATTGGGCCTCTCCTGGGGCACGAATCCTCCCTAGGAGGTCCCAGGAGGCCCCAGGAGGCCCCAAGAGGCTCCTGGAGACCCCAGGAAGCCCCAGTAGGTCTCAGGAGGCCCCAGGAGGACTCAGGCTCATGCGCAGAGACGCGCTCGTACTACTGAGGCTCATTCACACTCCAATTCATTCTCAATTAGATTCATGACCAGACCGTCACAACTGAAGCCCGTTTATATTCGAAAGCTCTTGCGCCTAGACATTCACGGCGGACAGGTCCACATGTGGGGAGCTCCACGCAGTGAATAATTACTTGGACGCCTCGTACTCCTCCTCCTCCTCCTCCTCCTCCTCCTCCTTCTCCTCCCCTCTCCTCCTCATGCCCAGACTTACTCATACACAGACTGGCTCACACTCAGACTTCCTCATACCCAGACTTACTCACACACAGAATTACTCATACTCAGACCTACTCATACTCAGACCTACTCCTACTCAGACTTACTCATGGTGAGACTCACGCACGCCCCGTTCGCGGCCGTGTTGTGGGGATGTCTCAAGCGGTTTGCTCGCTTTCTGTCCCAACATCCTTCGCTTTCGGAGCAGATCGTGAGGATGTCTCGAGCGAGGCGCTCATTTTCACCTCCCTAAGGGGAGCCGCCGAGGGGTGTCTCACGGTCCCGTTCGCTGCCGTTTTGTGGGGATGTCTCAAGCGGTTTGCTTGTTTTCTGTCCCAACACCCTTCGCTTTCGGAGCAGCTTTGGAGGATGTCTCGAGCGAGGCGCTCATGTTCACCCCCCTAAGGGGAGCCGCCGAGGGGTGTTTCACAGTCCCGTTCGCGGCCGTTTTGTAGGGACGTCTCAAGCGGTTTGCCTGGTTTCTGTCCCAACATCCTTCGCTTGCGGAGCAGATTTGGAGGATGTCTCGAGCGAGGCGCTCAGCTTCACCCCCCAGGTGGGCGAGATGTTGAGGATGTCTCGTTCGGTTTGCCTGTTTTGGTGGCCAGACTCGTGGGCACAGGTTCTCCCCAGGATGCCACAGGATGCTGCAACAGGCTCCAGGAGGCCCCTCTGGGAACCACATGAGGTTCCAGGAGGCATCAGGAGGCCACAGAAAGACTCAACAGGCCACAAGATGTCCCAAGAGGCTCCAGGAGGCCCCAGGAAGCTCCAGGAGGCCTCAGGAAGCCACAGGAGGCCCCAGGAGGCCACAGGAAGCGCCAGGAGACTTCGGAAGGCAACAGGAGGCCCCGAGAGGCCCCAGGAGCAGGAGGCCTCAGAGGGCAACAGGAGCGGCTCCAATCCCATGTGTTTTACGTATGCTGCTATAGATTGGGCCTCACCTGGAGCACGAATCCTTGACGTTATACGTATGTTTCTATATTTTGTCCTTCTCCTGTGAAAACAGTCCTAAATGTTGTACTTATGTTCCTATATGTTGGGCCCGTCCTGGGGCACGAGTCCTTGGTGCTTTACGTGTGTTCCGTTAGATTGCCTTTCTCCTGCGGCTCCAATCCGCAACGTTTTATGTACGTCGGTTGTTATAGATTGGGCCTCACCTGGGGCACGAAGCCTCCCTGGGAGGTCCCAGGAGGCCCCGGGAGGCCCCAAGAGGCTCCTGGAGGCCCCAGGAGGCCCCAGTGGGTTTCAGGAGGCCCCAGGAGGCCCCAGGCTCATGCGCAGAGACGCGCTCGTACTACTGAGGCTCATTCACACTCCAATTCATTCGCAGTTAGATTCATGACCAGACCGCCACAACTGAAGCCCGATTATATTCGAAAGCTCTTGCGCCTAGACATTCACGGCGGACAGGTCCATGCGAATAGATGCACATATGGGGAGCTCCACGCAGTGAATAATTTCACTGTCCCGTTCGCGGCCGTTTTGTTGGGATGTCTCAAGCCGTTTGCCTGTTTTCTGTCCCAAAATCCTTGGCTACCAGAGCAGAGGGATGTCTCAGGCGGGGCGCTGGTTTCAGCACCCCCAAGGGGAGCCGCCAGTGGTTATTTCACTGTCCCGTTCGCTGGCGTTTTGTAAGGATGTCTCAAATGGTTTGCCTGTTCTCTGTCCCAACATCCTTCGCTTGGAAAGCAAATTCTTTGGATGTCTCAAGCGGGGCGCTGGTTTCAACACCCCTAATGGGGGCCGCCGAGGGGTATGACACGGTCCCGTTCGTTGCCGTTTTGTGAGATTTCTCAAACGGGTTGCCTGGTTTCTGTCCCAACATCCTTCGCTTGGAGAGCAGATTGCGAGGATGTCTCAGGCGGGGCGCTGGTTTCAGCACCCCTAAGGGGAGCCGCCAAGGGGTATGACACGGTCCCGTTCGCGGCTGTTTTGTGGGGATGTCTCAAGCGATTTGCCTGCGCTCTGTCCCAACATCCTTCGCTTGGAGAGCAGATTGCGAGGATGTCTCAGGCGGGGCGCTGGTTTCAGCACCCATAGAAGAGGAGCTGCCAAGGGGTATGACACGGTTCCGTTCGCGGCCGTCTTGTGGGGATGTCTCAAACGGTTTGCCTGCTTTCTGCCTCTACATCCTTCGCTTGGAGAGCAGATTGTGAGGATGTCTCAGGCGGGGCGCTGGTTTCAGCGGCCGGTGTGTGGGGATGTCTCAAGCGGTTTGGCTGTTTTCTGCCCCAACATCTTTCGCTTGGAGAGCAGGTTGTGAGGATGTCTCGAGCGGGGCGCTGAAAGTCCCACAAGTCTCCCAAGTCTGTCAGGTCTCCTAAGTCGCCCAAGCCTCCCAAGCTTCCCAAGCTTCCCAAGTCTCCCAAGTGTCCCATGTCTTCCATGCCCCCCCCCCAAGTCTTCAAAGTCCCCCAAGTCCCGCAAGTTTCCCACGTCTTCCAAGTCTCCCAGCAGGAATACCAAGTCTGTCAAGTCTCCCGAGGCGGCCAGCTCTCCCAAGTCTCCCATGTCGCCCAAGTCTCCCATGTCTCCCAAGGTTCGCAAGCCTCCCAAGTCTCCCGAGTCTCCCAAGTGCCCCATGTCTCCCAAGTCTCCCAAAGTTCCCAAGGCTCCCAAGGCCCCCAAGTCTACCACGTCTCCCAAGTCTCCCACGTTCCCAGAGTCTCCCAAGTCACCCAAACCTCACGCGTCATCGCTATGACCTATGAGGAGGAAGAACGAAGAGGATGGGCGCAGATTCATTCGTATTCAAACCTCACGTTCACTCATACTCACGCACATCGGTATTTAACCGTCTTCGTCGGACCTGTCGACCACGTGGACGCGCTCTTATAGTCAGGCATTCATAGAGAAACGTGCACTGTGGCATATCATAAAACATGAGATGCACATATGGGGAGCTCCACGCAGTGAGTATTACTATTAATAGTAGCGGTAGTGGTCGTAGTAGTCGTAGTAGTAAGTAATAATACTAGTAGTAGTAGTAGTAGTAGTAGTAGTAGTAGTAGTAGTAGTAGTAGTAGTAGTAGTAGTAGTAGTAGTAGTAGTTAGTAGTAGTAGTAGTAGTAGTAGTAGTAGTAGTAGTAGTAGTAGTAGTAGTAGTAGTAGTAGTAGTAGTAGTAGTAGTAGTAGTAGTAGTAGTAATTGTTGTAGTAGTTGTAGTAGTCGTAGTCGTAGTCGTAGTCGTAGTCGTAGTCGTAGTCGTAGTAGTAGTAGTAGTAGTAGTAGTAGTAGTAGTAGTAGTAGTAGTAGTAGTAGTAGTAGTAGTAGTAGTAGTAGTAGTAGTAGTAGTAGTTGTAGTTGTAGTAGTAACACTAATAGTAGCAGTAATAATAATAGTGGTGGTGGTAGTAGTAGTCGTAGTTGTCGAAATATGTCGTAGGTCATGGTAAAGGTGGTAGTATCATCCGTATTCTTGGCAGCAGCAGTAACTAGTAGTCGTAGTAGTAGTGGCAGTACAATCAGCAGCTCCCCGAGGCCACAAACCCTCGTAAATTACGCGATATTCGCGCCCCCGAAGCCATAAACCCTCGTAAATTACCTGATATTCGCGCCACCGAAGCAGCTTTGGTCCTCGCGTGAAGTTCCGACATTGCTTCACGTCAGCATCCAGACATCCCAACACAGCTCTGGCAAGTCCCATTCTAAGAGAGGGGGGCCGGCGGCAATGGGGGCGAAGCCCTCACGGATATTCGCCCGTCTCTTTGCCTTACTCTTTCTGCGCCCGTCCGCGGCCATTGCTGTTTGTCTTGGGCCTAGGTCGGCCTCTCTTGTTGCCCCTTTTCCAAAAC